TTGACTTAGCATAATTTGAATCTAAAATCTATTGTGTGGTAGTCTATTCTCTTGGGATTCGATAACCTTTTGTGCTACAATTACATTGTTGTGCACCTGCAGTAGTAATATAAATTGGGTAAAACTACAAACATATCACCTTATTCCCCGTTTCTCCAGAAACTGACCTTCGCTTCGGCTAGACCCATACTCTTCCGGGATATCGGCAAGGTCGGGGTGAGCCTTATTCACCGTTTCTTCGGAAACTCAACTTTGCTTTGGCTAGACATGTACTCTTCTGGGATACACGGTAAGGTCGGTTGAGCTTTATTCACTGTTTCTCCATAAACACAGCTTTGCTGACTAGACCTGTAGTCTTTTGGGATATGAGGCAATGTTGAGGTGAGCTCTGTTCATCATTTCCCCAGGACCTCTATCTTTGCCTCAACTAAACCTGTACTCCTTCAGGATACGCGGCAAGGCCCAGCGGCCCGTTCTAACACGGCTCTGAATCAGCCAAAACCTTCGGGTATCAGACGAATCTTTGATTATTTTATACGAACGACAAAGGGTCCACTCCATGACTATATTCCAATCAGTTGAAAAGTCTGGGTAATTCTTGGTCCAACTTTTACCAAAATGAATCCTGAGTCGATATGTTCCCACTGGGCCCCACCAGTGGCCTTCTCTCACTAAGCCTACTACCAACCTCCTAGCGGACTGTTCCCGGACAAGTGGTGTGCTTACCAAGTTAGGCGTGTTGTACTATACTGCATGCTCCCGCAGTGTGCCGCACGAATGGGACAGGACGGAGGAAGAGGGTATAAAGGGATGCCTAAAGCCAAAGGAGAAAAGAGGAGAGAGAGAGATCCGAAGAGTCCAGACCAGCCACATAGGGCGAATTTGAGAGAATAAAACACATCCAAAGGAGGAGGAGGGGAAAACCTCTGACCTTCTGTTCGCTGGAGTTCACCCCTAGCTCGGCGCCACAGCGAAACAGAAAGGAAATGCTCACCGTTTCCAGAATAAATATCTTCCGAGATAAATGTTCTTCTCACTTCTTGTTTTTTATTATATACCTGTGTGGGAAGAACTCATACTTCACTCTCCTCTTGGTTTATCCTTCAAACTCCCTCATCGAGTAAACATCAAATGGATATCGCGATTCTCGACCGGGATATTTACCTTTAACCCCCTTAAAATCTACATTTCCGAGTACTTGTTCCTAGTAGGACGTGCATTAACTTGAGCGTCAAAGAACCTTCAGGAAGAAAACTCTTTTTTTGTCCATCTGGAAGCTTCCGTCCTAGAACCACATATCACTAATCTTCTAAAGGACGAAACTCGGAAGCACAACTTCGCAAACCCCAAATGATTACATACTTTGTAAGCATCCAAAATTTACTCTCAATCAATAATATAATTAAATAAATAGAAATAATTAGTAAAATAATATTAGTATTTAAAATTATTTTTCAAAAAAGTATATTTAACAGTATTTTCTTGTTGTATATCATTTTAAACGATTTCTTGTGAAAAAATATCAGCTTAGGATTCTAAAAGACAAATATAAAAATTTGTTCACAAGAAATCGGTCCACAGCAACTTTAAGTGATTAGACCGTTACCACTATGACAGGGATCAATTATTCATCTTCCAACAAATTTTTCTAAACCTAATTAATAACTAGTTTTCAATTATTCATCTTCCAACAAATTCTTCTAACCATATATTGCTCCTCTAGAGGACGAGATTCGGTGACACAACTCCACAAACGCACACAATTATATACCCTATAAACATTCTGAAATTTGCTTCTAAATTATAACATAGTGATCGCATAACAAGAATTTACCACTAGAGTAACCAACACTAGTCATGTGTGCAGGATTCGCTAGACTTCTATCTTAAAACTATATATCGCTCATCTTCTATTGGACGAAATTCGAAAACACAACTTCACAAATCTAAATGATTACATATTTTTTAAATATTCCAAAATTTACTCTCAAACAATTACGTAATTAAATAGATATAAATAACTAGTAAAATAATATTAGTATTTAAAGTTATTTTTCAAAAAGTATATATAACAATATTTTTTTATTGTATATCATTTTAAACGATTTCTTTTGAAATTTACAAGAAATCGGTTCACAGCAACTTTAAGTGATTAGACCGTTACCACTATGACGAGGATCAATTATTCATCTTCCAACAAATTCTTCTTAACCTAATTAATAATTAGTTTTCAATTATTCATCTTCCAACTAATTTTTCTAATTACATATTGATCTCATCTTCTAGAGGACAAAATTCGGTAACAAAATTCCACAAACCCACATAATTACATACCCCATAAACATCTTGAAATTTGCTTCTAAATTATAACATAGTGATCGCATAACAAGAATTTACCACTAAAATAACCAACACTAGTCATCTTCCATCAAAATCTTATAAACATAATTAAATAATTTCTCTTTTGGTGTCAAACAAAAGATACACTTAAAACTAACAACTGATTAATCATTAACCTTCTTCGTATAGAATTGTTTTCTTTTTTTGAAATTTTTGTTAAATGTTTGTTGTTAGGAAACTATTGTAAAAATCTTGAATTATATTAGAAATTAATTTTTTTTTTTAATGTTTCTTATTATCTTTTTCTTTAAAACCAAAGCTTCATATTTTATTTTTCTGAATCCATCTTTTTGTTTTAGTGGTTTTCATATTCAGAAGCGAATATTTCCTTCTGAATATTAAAAATATATATATATATATATTATCTAAACTTGAAGAGTATATTACAAAGGCCGGCAGAAAATACTTGTGTGGAACCAAGCGTGGTTTATACACATGCACATACAGACGATGGGTTTTGTGTCGGCAGTGACGATGGGTTTTGTGTCGGCAGTGTAGTTTATATTATATGTTAATGGAATCGAATGTATAGAACGGATGGTTGACTGTATAGAATTGAATGTATTTTAAATGGAACTGACAATTTTATTTTATATGTCAGCATAAACCGAATATTTTTATAATTTTATGATATATATGGATTTTAAATCCAACACGAAATTATTTACATCTACCTATCCATGACCACATATGTATTTACATCCATAAAAATGCCAAAATAACCAAAATAATAATATAAAGTTACAAAACATTATAGGGAGGATTATTATATTGGACTTAGAAATTTGGTTTTGGTCTTTTTTTATTATAATTATATGAGTATCTGCATGATGTGTGAATTTTTGCTTCATAATATAGTTTATTAAAATGTTTTAACAATCTATTTTATTTTCTATTTAATTTTTTCAGTATAATACAATTTGTTAACCACAGACTATGAATTATGTTATGTCTTATATATATAGCATAAATTGAATAAATATATATATATATATATATTGTAAATTAGAGAAATATATAACAAAAAGTAATTATAAAGACCTTTCAAATATAATATAGGTAGAAACAATTCTTTTTAACAGATTGTGCTGTGCTGGTTCATTATGCAGACTACTTAAACTTTTTGTAGTTGCTATTTGTTCGGACACATATCTACATCTCAACTCGCGGTCTATCTCAATTTTATCCTAGCTATTCTTATAAAATTTCTATTACATTGACAATAAATTGAAATATACATTCATTAGACATAAGCATATATAATTTTAATTAATATATAACTAAAAGATAAATAATTAATTAGTTTAACTTTATTTACATTATAGTAATGAACTATTAGTTAAAAATTTAATAAAATAAGTGTAAATTTCTCTAGTGCTAATATGACATTCAACTGAAAAGAGTTGACCATCTTTTATATAATAGATATTAATCTACCGTACCTTTTAAATCCTTGTTGGTAAAAAACGGCATTTAGATAGTGCCATTATTTTTGGGTTTTGCCACATAGACAACGCATTTGGCGGTAAACTTATTATTCTTGGTCAACGATGTATGAGAATCGTAAATTTCTTTTATGCAAGCAGTATTTAGTAAGGTTGTTATGGTTGATCATTATCTCCGACACGGTACACTTTTTTAAAGACTGATAGATTTGTATTTAAAATGGAAGATTAGATGTAATGATGGAATATTTATTTTTTTGTTCAGTTTCATGGCCAAATATGTGGTAGAGTTATGGTCAGAACAGTAGATTTATATCTAATAACAATAGGTTTACGAGTTATTTGGTAGATATAGTTAATGAAGTGGTAGACTTTGTTAGTCAAAAATAGCTGATGGTTTATGTTACCTTGGTGGTAGAGTTATTTCTTTTATGCTAGATATATAAATTCTTACTTAATAAACATGACATTGTGGTAAATTAACATCGAATATGTGATGGTAGAGTTGAATAGTGCACTAGTTACTATATTAGCATTATTGGTAGAGACATCGTGATTATGTTATGGTAGAATTCTATATAATTTTTATATGATGGAGGATATTTGACTTTTTTATAAGTCTACCGTAATTACTTGAAAGTCGATGAAATTGACTCTTGAAATTAGATGAGATTTGTACGCTGAAATTTGATATCATTTGTGATTAGCATGTCATAATCAAGAGATTAAACATGAATTTAGACACAAAAATTGTTAAAGACCCTTTCAGTTATATTGGATAATTAGAGAATCTTAATCCATATATATAAACTAAAAAGTACATAGAGATAGAGAACTTTGGATACAACATAAAATCAGAACTCAAATCTAAACAGTTGGTACTGCAAGAAAATATAGCACTCCTCACAGTACATTAATCTGTGTTTGAAATTGCATCTTGGAAAATCTTCACCACCGAAGGCATTTGGCAAGAAACCTCCACCATCAATCTGCATTCCCTTTTTTGTTGTAGCAACCTCTTCACCAAGTTTAACAATGTATTGCATGCATGATCTTCACCCTACAACTCGGTCCAAAAGTGTTTCCTATCTTATATATATGATCATCATCTGTTACAGCTATGACTTCACGGCTTTCACAAATGTTTTCTTTAGAGAGTTTGGGAACGCAGTGAAATTTTGGATGAGAATTAATGAGCCCAATATGCTAGCTGAGGGAGGTTATGACTTGGGATTTATGCCTCCTAAGCATTGTTCTGCCCCTATTTTCAATGGTCAATTGCTCAAGAGGAAACTCTTCACTGAGCCATATATTGCACTTTATAACATGTTACTTGCACATACATCTACCGCGAGATTGTACAAGCAAAAGTATAAGGTAAGATTACACATACACATATTTATTACTATCAATTTAATGCTCGTTTTACCTCTTTATTTTTTGATGGTGTAGGATAAGCAGAAGGGGTCTCTAGGTATAACCTGTTTTGCATTCTGGATGGTACCTTTTACCAGCTCTGAAGAGGATGAGACCGCAACTCAGAGAGCCAAAGATTTCTATATGGGCTGGTTTGTTGAACACAATCATACTTGAAAATTTGTGTTTTATTATCAAACTCTTCAGTGGCTGCTCTGTTTAAAAATGCATAAAACATTTGTATCTGTGAATTCTAGGGTTTCGAACCCACTGGTGTTTGGGAATTATCCTAATGTGATGAAGAGAATCGTTGGAAAAAGAATGCCACATTTTTCAGAAGAAGAATCAGATCTTGATAAAGACTCATTCGACTTCTTGGGAGTCATACACTACACAACATTGTTCATCAAACACTTATCGATTTCTCACCAAGGCGATTATACTTCGGACATGAATGCTTTACTGCTCTGTATGATTTGCTTTCTTGATATCTGATATGCTCAAATTAACTCTTAGAGCTACTCTCTCAAATTAAGAGATCATGGTAGTACTTAGGGATCGAATCCACAAGGACTTGAGACTATCACTAAACAGATTTTAGATTCAAATAAAGCTAAGCAGTAGATAATAAAATAAAACTAAGATATTTGCGAAATCAATGAGATCAGGATGTTTGTTGGTTCTTAAAATCAATAGAGACAATCGCTAGGCAATGGGAAATTTGCAGGTTGACATAAATCACAGACCACATACTGAAAGGAATATTTATTAAAATCGTTCTATAACTCGAAACACTAGTGTAAAACTAATCGACTTCCGTCGCAGAGATTAACTATGATCAGATTCCAGAATTCCAAATTCCTTTGCAAACTCTAACAACCTAAACATGCATTATAAATCAGGTTCGATAAGTTCACAAAACCACTAATCCAAATTCCTTTGCAACTAGTTATTTTGCTCATCTAAGATAGTTCTGGTGATTAATAATGCTTCCACATCTATTAAACAACCTAAGATCTGATTTCTAGGTGATCAATCTTAAAACCAGTATTAAAGCAATCAAGATGAAGAACCAAATGATTTATCCTTCCAGTTTTGTAGTTCTAACAATTCATTATCAACCTTTGAATAACCCAAAACCTAACTAGCAGATTACTCAGACATAGCAGGTGAAACACAAATCATGACTGAATAATATTGCATTAAGAAAATAGAGTAAAAGATTAAAGGGGTTCGAAATTCTTCTCTACAGAGTATAGATTTGTCTCCCCAAAAGCTCTCAATCTAATATCTCTCTTTGTCTCAATAATTCTCAGAATATCTGACTTACAATGGCTTAGAAAACCTAAATACAAGTCTAAACACGAACTGGGGTAAAAGTGCAAATAGTGGGAAACTTCTGGGCCAAGTTGCAATTTCTTCTAATGAGATTTAACGCTTCTTCGCAACCACGATCGGTGTCGATCGACACCAAGAGGTGGGTGTCGATCGACACCTTGCTCTTTAATGCCCTCCGACTTGGTCTTTTCAGCAACAGCTTCAGTATAGCTTCAAAAGGTTCCAGAATCCACAATTATGCTCCATTCGTACCTAAACCTGCAAAGACTCTATAAGACTCGAAAAATACCAAAAAGACTCTATAAACAAGACTTATATCATGGTCAAAAACCAGCAAAAACCATGATATATCAATATTTTTTATGTTATTTTTAAACTACCATACTTGAGTCCAACGCTGATTCTTTATTTCATTTGCTTGGACAGCAATTGGGAATTTTACACTGCTCGAGATGTGTAAACTGCCAGTTTAACACTCTTTTTAATCCTGAGTTTACTTGTCATATATCCACAGCTTAATGTGATTCCATGGGTCTTGAAGGAATATTAGAATACATAAAACAGAACTATGGAAATCCTCCTGCCTACATTCTTGAAAACGGTCATTTTCTTTCTCTCTCACTTAGTTACCAAACATTTTGGACCTTAAGAGTATTTCTGTAAATACATAATCTTTGTTGTTTGAATTGAAAGTTAAAATAATACAAAATCAGGTCGACCTACCAACCACCATTCATCGCTTAACGACGTGGGAAGAGTTTAATACTGTTGAAATTCAAATGTCCTTTATATTAATATTCTCTAAGTGTTACAAAGCCTCTAGGAGTGTTAGAGGGTCTGGGCTTCAGTATATAAGTCGTTCTCTTTTCTCTATTTTTTATTCAGTCTGTTAAGAGAGGATAAGGTAGAGAGAGTTGTTGTAAACAAAAAAAGAGAGAGAAAGGGCTCGAGCTTGAGCCGCCATTCTTAGTCGACCGGAGTATATCTCCAGCGAGACGTAGGGTGCATCTTTAGCCCTGAACTCGTTAAACCGCCGTGTCTTTTACTTGCTTTCTCTTCCTCCTTATATCTTCTTGAATCGATCAGTATTGAAAGGTTCTGGATCGAGAAGCAATCCTATCAAAGTGGTATCAGAGCTCCTGGTTTGGGGAAAGGAAAACCGCGAGGGTGCAATTGAGGAAGATCGCTTCAGAATGTCGACTTCCACGGGAATCGAGAAGTTTGATGGCAATGGTGACTTCTCGATGTGGAGAAGACGGATGTATGCTTATCTGAGCATATCAGGATTGAAGGATGTCCTCGTCAACATCACGGGGAGCTCAACGGGAACCCTAGTTCAAACGGCGACTACGGGTCTCACACCGTTGACCGGCGCACCTCCGACGGCAGCTGCAGAGACAACCGCGGCGATTCTTACAGTGTTGGGAACAGCTCAAGATCTGGCGAAACTGAAGATCGAGCAAGATTCGATGAGAGCAGAACGGTGCGAGAGGGCGCTCCACATGATTTTTCTTAGCGTAACAGATCAAGAGCTAAGGAAGATTGAATGGTACGGCAGCAGCTGCAGCGTGGGCGTTTCTGGAAAGGTTATACATGCTAGGATCGTTGCCGAATCGAGTTCATGCACAGCTACAACTTTATAGCTTCAGGATGTAGGATCATCGAGCAATAGATGAAGACGTGGATGATTTCTTAAAGTTGGTTGCTGAACTGAGTCATTTGAGAATCGATGTACCAAAGGAGGTTCAAGCAATTCTGCTTCTAAACGCTATACCAATAGATATGATCAGCTAAAGGAGACTCTCAAGTATGGAAGAGAGTCAATTATGTTGGAGGAAGTGGTTACGGCAGCGAGATCAAAGGAAAATGAATTCAAGGAGAATCCAGGGAACTCGAGATCAAGCGGAGAAGGACAGAATCAAGAAGTGAGAGGTCAGGAAAAGGAAAGCACAAGGATCAGAGATCAAGGTCAAAATTTTCAGAGAGAAAGAAGATTTGTTGGATATGTGGAAAGGAAGGGCATTACAAGAAACAGTGCTATAAGTGGCTTGAGTGTAATAAGCACAAGCTGTTGTCTCAAGATAGAAGAGAGTCAGTAATGGCTAAGGATGATGCTCAGGCCTAATTGCTTGTGAAGTTAACTTGTCACAAGAGACAGACAAGGATGAGTGGATAATAGACACATGATGTTCTTTCCACATGACACCGAGAAAGGAGCTGTTCTTTGATTTTAAGGAGATTACATCGGGCAAAGTCAGAATGGCAAACAATGCTCACGTTGAGGTGAAAGGAATTGGTTCAATAAGGTTCCTGAATCAGTGAGGTGAGATTCATGCCGGATATAGCTAGGAATCTGATATCTGTTTGCACTCTAGAGAATAAAGGGTGTGAGTTCAAATGTGCTAACGGGGTAATCAAAGTAACCAAAGGCTGCACGGTCATCATGAAAGGGATCATGAAGGGTACATACACGTTGTAGTTTCTTCAGGGATCAGCAAAGGTAGCTGAAGCTTATGTTGGTCAGGCAGAAACGTCAGCTAAAGCAGAGGTGTCTAAGGATCAAACAGAGCTTTGGCACAGAAGACTTGGTCACATTGGGCAAAGAGGACTGGAGATTCTGCACAAGAAAGGTTGTTTTGGGAAAAACAGAGTGTCAGAGATAAAGTTTTGTGAGGATTGTGTTGTGGGCAAAACACATAGAGTCAGTTTTGGTCCTGCACAGCATATAACTAAGGAAAGACTCGACTACATACACTCCGACTTGTGGGGATCACCAAATGTCCCTCTAAGTTTAGGAAGGTGTCAGTACTTCGTGTCATTCACAGGCGACTGGTCCAGAAGTGTGGATCTACTTTCTAAAGTCCAAAGATGAAGCGTTTGGTAGATTTTTTGAGTGGAAACAAATGGTTGAGGTGCAGACGGAGAGAAGGGTCAAGAAGTTAAGAACCGACAATGGTCTGGAGTTCTGTAATCAGAGGTTTGATCAGTTTTGTAAAGAAGCTGGGATTGTCAGACACAGGACATGTACATATACGCCACAGCAAAATGGTGTAGCTGAGAGGTTGAACAGGTCCATACTAAACAAGGTCCGTAATATATTGAGTGAAAGCGGTCTCAATAAGAGTTTATGGGCTGAAGCAGCATCAACTGCATTGTACCTGATCAACCATTCACCATCATTAGTGATCGAGTTCAGAATACCAGAATAGTTGTGGACCTCAGAGATGCCTAGTCTTACACATTTGAGGAGGTGTGGATGTGTTATATACATTCAAATGACGGGAAGCTGAATCCCAGAGCCAAGAAAGGATTTTTCACATGTTATCCAGAGGGAGTAAAAGGCTTCAGGATCTGGTTACTCGATGAGAGGAAGTGTATTATTAGCCGAAACGTTGTTTTCAGAGAAGAAGTGATGTTCAAGGACATCGGTTCAGAATCAGAGACAGCCTCAGGTACTTTGAAACTTAATGTGTTATCTAGCAAGTTTGTGGGAAATGATTTTGCAGGAAACAGGTTAGAAGAGAATGAGGCTCTAAGTGAGGATGAGATTCGATAAGAGACTGCTGTTCAAGGTGGAGCCAATACAGAAGAAGATGATCAAGAGAGGTCAAGTCAAGAGAGTGAAGATGAGATATCAGGTCAGGGTTCTACTGGACAACTATCAGAAGATGATGGCAGGCCAAAGAGAGATACAAAGCTATCAGTAAAGCTCAAGGACTTCCATTTGTATCGAGATGACGACGATGAAGATGACATCGCTGGTTATGCCTATCTGATGATAGAAGATGGTCGTAAAGTTGAACCGCAGAGCTTCGAAGAGGCCATGAATGATCCTGATA